TCCCCCCAAAAATAATAATAATAATTTTTTTTTTAAAGCTACTAGTTCTTTGACAAGCCTCCCCATCAGACCAAGGTCTTGAAGTTTGGCAAGTCTTGGAGATGTCTTAGTGACTATGAGTGCAGAAGTCAGCCTGTGTTGAATTCCACTTGCTCTGGGAGCTTACGGGTCAGAAGATGAAAGCCCTAGGAGAGCAGGCAGTTAAAGCACTAGAACCCAACCAGGCCAGCGCATAAACACGTGAGCCAAGAAGCCCCTGTGATGGACCCTGCCCAAGAGCATAGCTGAGGCTTTTTTGAGGGATAAATTTCCTCGTATTTGCAAATAGACAAATCAATAAGGACAGAGCATATATCTATTGTCAGAAAGAACCAGTGAAAATTTCATAAGCAATACCAATCAGAAGTTAGCAATATTCCCCAAATAGGATGTATACTACTATAATACTTGTAAAATATGTATTTGGTTTTCCTGTTTCTAGAAACTGGGGGAATCTCTATAGTGGTAAGAGCATCTTTATTTTTTTATTTTTTATTTTTTTTGTCGGTCGTGGGGCCTGAACTCTGGGCCTGGGCGCTGTCCCTGAGCTCTTCAGCTCAAGACTAGCACTCTAGCACTTGAGCCACAGCACCACTTCTGGCTTTTTCTGCTTATGTGGTGCTGAGGAATAGAACCCAGGGCCTCATGCATGTGAGGCAAACACTCTACCACTGAGCTACCTTCCTAGCCCACATCTTTGTGTTTTCAAGAAAATAATCAGTGGCTGAATGAAGGCTCCAGGATGGGAAGTTGGCCCATGGAAAAGACCAAAACAGAATTATAAAGGTTAAAACTTTCAGTCAAGGTGTTTTGATCACCTATAGCCAATGATGTAATCAATCGTGTCTTTATAATGAGAACTCCATAAAAGTAAAAAATCTGGGTTTGGACAGGAAGCTGATTGTCTCACACTTAGAGGTGCCTGCAGGATGATGCACTCGGCACCACATAAACAAAAAGAAAAAAGCCGGAACTGGTGCTGTGGCTCAAGTGGTAGAGTGCTAGCCTTGAGCTGAAGAGCTGAGGGACAGCGCCCAGGCCCAGAGTTCAGGACCCATGACCGGACCCCCGCCCCCCCCCAAAAAAGAAAAAAAATCAAATTTATAACTAGCTCTGACACTATCTCTAAGTAAAACTGAACTGAAATGGGGGAGTGAGATGTTGCCTGGATGGTATGTCCCAGTAGAACTGCTTGGGTGCTGGACAACAGAAATCCACCCCACAACATTTTGATTAGAGGTATTGTGTTGTACTGAGTTTGAAAAATAGGGGAGAAAACACTTAATCTCCCCACCTAATAGTGAAAAAGAAAGCAATATCTTCATAGTCTCTCATCCAAAAATAAAACAGGCCAACTGGCATTTACAGAGGACTTATTTAGTTTTGGCCTATGCCATGTACTATAAGAAATAATAACAATAATAGAAAATGAGAGATCAAAAGTACTTATAAACATAATCTCCCCCTTACAACAAACAAAAATCTCTTGACTGAACTCCATAGTTACTCCTACAATGCTACTCCCAACTAGAGGATGGCTAAAATCAGAAAAGCTAGAACTTAGAATGGTATGCATAAAAGAACTTTGAGGGCTGGGAAGGTGGCTCAGTGGTAGAGTGCTTGTCTCCCATGCATGAGGCCCTGGGTTCCATTCCTCAGCTCCACATAAACAGAAAAGGCCAGAAGTGGGTGCTGTGGCTCAAGTGGTAGAGTGCTAGCCTTGAGCTGAAGAGCTGAGGGACAGCACTCAAGCCCCACGACGGACAAAAAAAAAAAAGAACTTTGAAAAGTAGTTATTACTTCAAATGACAAAAACCTGGGTGGTTTCAGTCCCTGCTCAATAAACCTGAAGGCATGTTTTTATTAGTAATATAAAAGCATCTTATTACATACAGAATGATCAACAATAATCATATCAATGTGCCAAATACCTAGCATCTCATTTAGTTCTTGTTATAAATATGATCTCTAAGAATCACTGAAGTCACAATAGACAATGACAGATGATAAAAAATTGTCTCAGCAAGGCAAAATTTACTTCTGCATTAGAGTGACACATCAATCAAAAATCTGGCAAGCAAGCACCAAGTAACAGGCAGACTACCCTACCCCTGCCCCCCATTTATCTCTAAATCATCAAGGTCTGCCCCTCTGCTCAGATTGGTTGAGCTCAGGTTCACAATATGCTTGTGATTGGCTAGTCTGAAGAGGGTAAAATGTATTTATATAAGATGATTTTGAAATAACATTCACAGTACACAAGTAATCTCAAAATACATCTGCATCCTCTGCTATTTCTTCAACGATTTGAGGTATATCTTAACTCCAGTTTAAGACAAAGCTGTACCTAGCCGAGCACCAGGTCAAAACAGGGACTTTTAAGGAACCCATGGTGATTAAAAAAGACAGTTTTTCTCACAATAGGCCCTGAGCTCAAGCCGCAGGAACAGCCCACACTCACACATGCATGCACGCACACACACAAACACCCACAAATCTGAGAAATAGTTCTTAATCACAGTGTAACAACTTTTGAAATCTTAGTGATTCTGCTAGCATAATTCTCAGATCCAAAGAATCTTACAATTTTATCACAGACTTTCTACCACATTTTTATAAGGTTAAGTACCATAGAAAATATCATTTACCTATTTTATAAAATACCTTCTAAGGTTTTATCTTGGGTGGAGGGTGAGCAGCCAAAATCTAAATGTTTATTCTCATTATATTAACAAATATCAGTTGGTTTAATTCCTCTTATTAATTCCATATTCATACTAGTAAAGTTCCTTTAAATAAACCTACTATTTTTCTTCTTTAAAGATGTTAAATATCCTGATTCTTTAAATTACATTCATCTAACATTTCAACTTCCTTCAAAAATAAATGGTGGCTCATGCCTGTAATCCTAGCTACTCAGGAGGCTCAGATCTGAGGATCACGGTTCAAAGCCAGCCCCAGCAGGAAAGTCTGTGAGACTCTTATCTCCAATAAATTACTAGAAAATGGGAAGTGGTGCTGTGGTTCAAGTGGTTGGAGCACTTGCCTTGAGCTTAAGAGCACAGGGACAGCACCCAAGCCCAGAGTTCAAGCCCCACAATCAACAAAGTTCTCCAGGTATCTAGTGGCTCATGTCTGTAATCCTAGCTACTCAGAAAGCAAAGATCTGAGGATCCAAGTTTGAAGCCAGCTAGAGGATGAAAGTCTTTTATCTCTAATAATTAACCACCAACCATGCCAGACTGGAGGTGTGACTCAAATGGTAAAGTATCAGCCAGGAGCAAAAAGTCCAATCAAAAGTGTGAGGCAAGCCGACACTCTAATTGTAGCTACTCAGGAGGCTGAGATCTGAAGATATCAGTTTGAGGCCCTGGGTTCGATTCCTCAGCACCAAATAAGCAAAAAGAAAAAAGCCGAAAGTGGCGCTGTGGCTCAAGTGGTAGAGTGCTAGCCTTGAGCTGAAGAGCTGAGGGGCAATGCCCAGGCCCAGAGTTCAAGCCCCATGACCGACCAAAAAAAAAAAAAAAAAGTATGAGGTACACTAAGCAATGGTGATTCAAACCTGTAATGCTAGCTACTCAGGAGGCTAAGATCTGAGGATAGTGGTTTAAAGCCAGCCAGCCCAGGATAGTCTGTGAGACTCATCAATTAACCACCAGAAAACTGAAGTGGAGCTATGGCTCAAAATGGCAGACAGCCAGGCTTAAGCAAAGGAGTTCAGGGACAGTGCCCAGTCTCTGAGTTAAAGCCCTACTACCAACCAAAAGCAATGCAAGGCACTGAGTTCAAACTTTGGCACCCACACAGATAGACATAGATACACATGTAATAACCTTGATTTACTTACTGTAATCCCATTAATAGGTATTTACAATTCACTTGCTAAATTTACCAGATAAAAATACTTATCATGTAGGGAAATGGACAATCTAGAACAAATCATATTAGTTAAGTAAGCCAAGCTCAGAGACAAATGGAGCATGTTTTTTCTCATATGGGGAAGTAAGATCTAAGATGCACCACAATATGATAAATTATACAGGACTCTACACATTCATACACAGTGGGACAAAAGGAAGATACTCTTAGGAGAACACAAAGATGCAATGCCTCTATGCCTCTGATTAGCAAAAAGGAACTCCAAAAAGTGGAAACAAAAGGTTTTTTTTCCCCCCTTGTTGTCTTGTTGATCTGTCTTTGGAGGAGGGAGTTAAGAAAGGGCACAGAACTGAAGGGACAAAGGGTGAACAAATGTAGCAGTAGTGCCCAGTAGATACTATTGTGAAAATGAACTATACAGCTGGGGGAAAGGGTAGAGGCAGGAGGGAAAAACTAGGAGAGAGCCAAAGAAGGGGTGACATTGTCTAAACAAAAGTGTACTCATTACCTGACATATGAAATGGCAACCCATCTGTACATCACCTTTATAATAAACAATAAAAAATAATAAATGTTATCAACCTATATTCAGAAAGTATTTATTATGATTTGTCCCTTTTCCAAAAACTAGACCTTTTTTTTTTTAAATACTGGAAAATACTAAGCACCATGAATAGCAAATAACTAGATACATGTCAAAGTTCTTGTTTTTAAAAGTGCAGTTGTACTGCTTACCTGCATCAGCTCTGGACCGCTGGCCTGGTGTCTTTCCGAATGGGGTCTTCATTCATCTGTATTTATGTGAGCAGCAGAGCTGCTTGACTAGGGTGAAAATTCAATACTCTCCAACTTGAAACTTTCCAAGGAATGTCAGTGTTTTCGTTAATCCACCATCCAAGTGTCTCTTCTAGGAGCTTAGCAAAATTACACGGACTCACAAGCACACTGCAAAATAGTGAAGTAATTCATTACTGGAGCAGTGAGAGCAAACTGCCTCATGAGCCACTAAACAGAACATACAATGTAGACCTAAGTTTTAGTAAAATGTGCTTCTCCCCGCCATTCCCCACAGCAATTACCTGCATTTCCTGAAGACCTGGATTCCTAGCACAGACTAAAAGGGCTAAGAGGAGGCAACAGACTCTTTGGAAGAGGAAAACAAGACTCCAAAGTAAAATTACTCAGACATCAGCTCAAGACACTTCCCCACTATATTCTAATGCATCTGCTCTTAAGATATCAAAAAGGGGGGATCCTGGGATTACAGTTTATATCCCAGGAGGAGCTAGCTTGTGGAGGCAGGTGTAAGTGGAGCGGAGTGAGAGATGCTCATCTGGATGGAGGATAGGAATTCAGTGGGCTTAGACAGGACCAAGGATTACAACCAACAAAATTTTGCTTTTCTCTTTCTGTTCCCAACTTTCGAGAAACTAGAGAAAAACCTTAAAGAAACTTCCTCACTCATGCACATTTAAGTAATTTTATGAAAACAGTCTTATCATTTAGAACAAATTTGGTTTCAAAAAGTTAAAGTCCACATAGTGAAACATATTTTCATAGATATTCTCGTAAGACATGAAAAATCACTACAAATTTAACTGATGACATTTGGTTCTCGTATAGTAAACTCTTTTTTTCTTTTTGGTTGGTCACGGGGCTTGAACTCTGGGCCTGAGTGCTGTCCCTGAGCTCTTCAGCTCAAGGTTAGCTGTACCACTTGAGCCATAGCACCACTTCCGAATTTTTCTGTTTATGTGGTGCTGAGGAATCAAACCCAGGGCCTCATGCATGCGAGGCAAGCACTCTACCACTGAACCATCTTCCCAGCCTTTGTATATTAATCTTTATGCTTACGCTTAATAACAATTACTTGGATGAATTTAAAGAATTAAACAGAATGCTTAATTAATTGCCTAGAAATTAAAGTATTGAAAACCATTAAAACAAGATGTCTAGTGAAGAAGAGAAAAATAAATCTAACTTTAAGATACAAATCCTAAACTAAGCCATGTACAGTGGTTCACGTCTACAATCCTAGCTACTAGGGAGAATCCTGGTTCAAGGCTAGAATGGGTAAAAAGTTCACAAGACCACCATACCCCAACCAATAAAGCTGACATACACTTGTCATCCAACTTACATGTGAAGAGTAAATAGAAGGATGGTGGTCCAACTAGCCTGGGAAAACAGTGAGACCTTGTTTGATAAAGCAAAAAGGGCTACGGGGTATGGCTCAGGTGGTAGAGCCCAGCCTAGCAAGTACAAGCTCCCAAATTCAAACTTCAGCATCATCAGGAAAAAAAAAATCTAAACTAGCCAGGTGTGCAAGGCACCTAAAGTCTTACATACTTAAGAGCCTGAAGCAGGAGGAATAGTTTAGTATCTAAGTTTGAGTTTAGCTTAAACAATATAGCATGAATCGATCTGAAGAAAACAAACAAGCTAGGCACAGTGGCTCATGCTGGCCATCTTAGCTACTTGGGTCAACCTATTAGAAAAGGAATGAAAGGAAAAGAGCTGGGGTATGTATAGTTCAAGTGGTAGAACACCTCGCTAGCAAAGCTCAAGGTTCTGAGTTCAAACTTCCAATGAAACAAAAATGTGAAACTCTAAACCAGAAATACCTTTTCAAAAATCATTTAATCAATGATTTTATAATTAACTGATCCAACACATATTCTGAGTTCCTAGAAGCAACTAAGGAAAGGTGATATAGCTCAGCAGCAAAACACTTGTCCAGTAAGTGCAAAAACTCATCATTATAAAAAATACAATTAAAAAGTTAATAAATAAGCAAAATAACTAGTATGTCAAATAGTAACTTCCTAGGATGAGTGCTACAACATTCACTGGTAACTAACCAGTTATCCATCTTTTCAGACTATCCATAACCACCACACCAAGTCTCACATCCTCATTTACCTGATTTACCACCAGAAAGGTAATTCAACTCCACCTCCATACTTGTTTATCTTAATATTATCACTCTCCCCTCCCTTCCTGGCCAAACCCTCTTGAAAACAGTGCTTAAGCAAAATGTGGTTTACTGTCACCCTTGAACCCTGTCCACTCACCTCCATGTGAGGCCACAGTTGTTTCTATTTCTCACTGACTATACTAAATGTTCCTACCCCAATCCTCCACTTGAAAACACATGCATACTCCATAATAATATACCTTTCTGCTAGTCTTTACCTAATGTTCCAGTCATCTGCATACTTTAAAGACTTTGCTGTCTCGGCTGGGAAGGTGGCTCAGTGATAGAGCGCTTGCCTTTGCATGCATGAGGCCCTGGGTTCGATTCCTCAGCATCACATAAGCAAAAAGAAAAAAGCCGGAAGTGGCACTGTGGCTCAAGCGGTAGAGTGCTAGCCTTGAGCTGAAGAGCTGAGGGACAGTGCCCAGGCCCAGAGTTCAGGCCCCATGACCGGACCCAAAAAAAAAAAGACTTTGCTGTCTGGTTTACTTTCCTTTCCACCAGCACTCTTATCAACATTCCTGCAGTCCTAGCATCCATACACATCTTTTCAACGCTATCCCTTGAGCTGTTAGAAATCCTCACTTCAAACTATTGCCACACTTGAGCCACTTATTGCAGCTTTCTCAGGTTAGATCATTTTATCAGCAATGACTGCAGCATCTCCAAAATCTTTATGTGGAGATCTCACTCAAAATCATCTGACTAGTCCAGATTTTTTTTTAAACACCAGTACACTCAAACAATTCTTAGATAAATCTGATAAAAGGAGATATCTGATTTGTTGGATGTCTTATTTGGTTACTGAACAGAGAATGGAGGAAAAGAAGAGATAAGAGTTCTTATACCACAACTTCGGACTAAACCAACAGAGGGGAAACAACCTGATATATGTTTCTTTCCAGTATGTTGAAGATTAGCTATCAGAGCAAATCACATTCTGTTTGGATAACCAATCAACCAGATCCACCTTAGGGCTCTGTCTATTCCATAGTTTCCCATCCCACTTAGCTTCAGCAAATGTAGACTCAATATAAGCAGTTTATACCTCCTCTATAGAGTTTCATTATAAAAATACGTTGGCTTGGGGCTGGGAAGGTGGCTCAGTGGTACAGCGCTTGCCTTGCATGCATGAGGCCCTGGGTTCCATTCCTCAGCACCACATAAGCAAGAAGAAAAAAGCCAGACATGGCACTTTGACTCAAGTGGTAGAGCGCTAGCCTTGAGCTGAAAGAGCTGAGGGACAGTGCCCAGGCCCAGAGTTCAGGCTCCACGACTGGGCCCCCCCCACAAAAAAACCTTGGCTTCTAAGATCTGGTGCATACTTTTTTCAAGCACTTTGTGGCTAAGATGCTAATAATTTAATACAATTTGTGCCAAGTGCCTGTGGCTCATGCCTGTAATCCTAGGTACTCAGGAGGCTGAGATCTGAGGATTGAGGTTCAAAGCCATTTAATTCTTATCTCCAATAAACGACCAGAAAACTGGAAGTGGCACTGTGGCACAAGCAGCAGAGCGCTAGCCTTGAGCTGCAGAGCTGAGGGACTGGGCTCAGGCCCAGAACTTATGCCCCATGATCAATAACAACAACAGCAACAAAAAGAATTTGTCCAAGGACTAGTCCTTTATTTTTTAGCTAATATTGTTAACAGTTTAATAATCATTTTATTCCAGAGATCTCTTAGCTTTTAGATTTTGATTTTAAAAATCAATCTTTGTTTTTGTTTTTATTTTTTATTGTCCCATTATGACTCTCCTGGATGAACCACTAGCTAAAATCCCAGGGATGGTCCATCACCACAATGATTTCCTGCTGTGCTTGCTCTTCTGCTCAAGGCAAGCGCTCTACTGCTTGAGCCTTGAGCCACAGCGCCACTTCCAGTTTTCTGGTGGTTAATTGGAGCTAAAAGTCACAAACTTTCCTGTCCGGTCTGGCTTTGAACTATGATCCTCAGATCTCAGCCTCCTGAGTAGCTAGGATTACAGGTGTGAGCCACCAGTGACCGGCTGCTGTGCTTAATTTTTAATAGGCTAGCCACAATAGAAAGACCAACTAATCATGGCCAAGACAGCAGTTCAACATCCAGAGAAAGGAACTAGGGAGGGAGTCCAAACTCTAGTCAATAATTCAACTACGAATTATGCTGAGAATGTAGTCACAATAGCTTATGTACATTATGTAAAAATAAAATTTAAAAACCCTACATAAATTGAGGTGGAGATAATGGAGGAACAAAGGAAGAGGTGACATTGACCTAGAAGCATTGTATTCATAACCTGACTTACAGAACTGTAACCCCTTTGTGCAACTACATCATCATCATCATCATCATCATCATCATTTTGCTAAGTGCCAGTGGCTCACTCCTATCTTATGCCTGTAATGTCAGAAGACTGAGATCTGAGGATTGCAGTTCAAAGCCATCCTGGGAAGGAAAGTGCTTTCAACTCTCTCTTATCTCTAATTATCACCAACGAACTAGAAATGCAGGTATGGCTTAAATGGTAGGTAGAGCACCAGCCTTGAACAGAAAAAGCTAAGGAACAGCACCTCAAGCCTTCAAGTTCCAGTACTGGCATACACACATGCACAAAGCCAACAGAATTTTATTGGTGATGTAATGAATCACCAGTAAAAATTCTGGACAGAGGCCCATGTGCACTCTCCTGACAGTACTCTACATACTGCAGTCATACTTATATATGCACCAGGAAAATAATCTGACCTGATTACACTGGAGGGCACAAAGGAGAGACTGAATGCAGACATTCAGTATCCTCACAGTCCTCATCCTATGCATCTCTGGCTGGTTGTGATTTGTATACTCTTGTGACATAAATCTATAATCACAAGCAGGGCGCTGGTGGCTCACACTTGTAATTGTAGCTACTCTGGAGGCTAAGATTTGAGAATTGCAGTTCGAAGCCAGCCACGGCAGGATTGTCTGTGAGACTCTTATATCCAATTAACC